ACCGTGTTTGAGCAACCACGAGCAATGAAAGCATTCACTTTGCCACTCACGTACGAACACGTGAAATTTGACGTAAGTCTGCAACCAGAGCTTTTGGAATGCTGAAGCTTTCTGAGCGCTACCCAGGACCGTGTCTGAGCAACCACGAGCGATGAAAGCATTCACGTTGCCACTCACGTACGAACACATGGAATTTGACGTAACTCTGCAACCGGAGCAGCTGGAGTGGGGAAATTTTCTGAGCGTTACCCAGGGCTGTGTTTGAGTAGTTGCAAGTGAAGAAAGTATTCGCTCTGTCACTCGCATACGAACACGTGAAATTTGAAATAACTCTGCAACCAGAGCAGCTTGAGTACTGAAACTTTTTGAGCACTACCTAGGGCAGTCTTTAAGTAACCCAAGCGAAGAAGACACTCACGTTGCTACTCACGTACAAACATGTGAATTTGTCGTAACTCCGCAACCGAAGCATCCAGAGCGTTGAATTTTTTGGGCATGAATTGGGAGTCATTATAATAATTTCTAACAGTCATGGTGGCCAGTCAAAATTCTTTTAGCTGGAAGCATCTGCCGAAAGAGCGTGTCACTGGCGAAATAAACCTGAGGATGGGGAGGGGAAATTGTGCAAAAAACGCATCCTCGTACCGTCAGCCGGTACGCTTTCGACTAAGTTTTTGCTTTTATTCATAGGCTTGGATTTTTTTAAATTTACTTTCCTTAGTAGTACTGTGTTGTCTGGTCCTATTTTCTGCTGTTTGCAATTCCTGCCTCGAGCTCCTGAGTTGTATCCTCGCCTCCCTCCTCTACTCTGTCATCAAATCCCCCTGCAAAGCACCATCTTAGCTCCTTTTCATCCCTACTATAACTGCATTCTGGAAGCTACCAATTCAGTCCCATTTCTACCCTCGTCATCCGTTGCAAAAACCAGCAGCACACTTCCTCTTCCCTCCCGCCCATTACCTTCCCCCTCCTGTCCTTCCAGATTTACGTGGCCTAGCAACCAACAATGATCTACGCTGCGCAGTCATTAAATCTATCTAGCTCCGAACTCCTACGGACGAAATCCGCAGCATATTATTTCTCTTCCCACCTTCCGCGTCGACTGTCAGTGCCATTCGTCGTGGGGTAACGTTACCCGTCACCACTGAGGAAAATTTTCTGCAATTCGTGCATGACGCCAGCCGAGCCTAGCCGAGTTCTAGTAATTCTTTTTTTATGTATCTGCGCTGGCACTTAGCTGTTTCTCAGTTCCTCAGAGCTATTGTGTTGTCGAATTAAATAATTGTGTTGAAGTTTTGCAACTTCCGCTTTTATTTAAAAGAGGGGAAAAAACTGAAAAAAGTTTCAAAATCAAGAAATACAAAAGTGTGAAAAGTTTCAGAAATTTTAAACAGTTATAGAAATTATTTCTTCTAATTTGTAATTAACTGTTTTCAGCGTTACATGTCAAGGAGAGTGGCCTCGGACAAATTTCCTTTTCTGTGATACCTAAGATGGTTGGCTTCTTGCCGTATCCGTTTATCGCTGTGTATGGCTGCGGACATAAAAGTTCGACATCGGTAAGCAGTCTCTGGTTCGTTGGTGTACAAACATTCCAGCCCATCTGCTCTGTCTTCTAGCATTTCACTCTGTCTGGGAAACTGGGGTCTTTGTGAGTAATGCAGTGATGGCGGTTTGTCAAAAGCCTTCACTCATAACCAAACCCATTGGTCTTGACGACTTTTGTCAGCTCCATCAGCCTCAGTTTTTTTCGTTTGTTGAATATAAATAAAGCAAAAAATAAACACGACGCATGTGTGTGGACGGAGCCTCTTGATTTTAGTATCACAAGATTTCATTTGCTAACTTTTTTAAGAAATTCAGTGAAAAGAATTTTTTTAGGATCTTTCTCGCTCATCTAGTGAAAGTGGCAGTGACTTTGGACCGCTGCTTTCGAGCTTTGTACGAACAAATGGTAAGCAGGTACACGTTCTGGCTGCTTTTGCGGCATCAGCGGATCATAAAAATGTCGACGAGAAAACGAGCCGTTTCAAGGAGGCCAAAAGTCGACTAACGAAGCTCTTTGATTGATCACATTTCACATTTTGCTCCAATTACATATAACGGTGCTAAATTTGCTCTTATTTTATTACAAATTGTAGCCTCATATGGAATCATTTATTGTGCTCGCTGCCTCCTCCATTCTGCACTTTCATGCTTCCTTTTTCTGTGGTTTTCGAGCATCCTAAGTCGAGCTCTTCCTCTTCTCCGCTTTCTACGAAAAAACGGAAGTTCTTGTCGAAAACGCCTTTCCGTGCTTCTTTATGGAGTGCTTTCAATAGATTCCTAAATTTTTTTCTTTCCGTTTTTCCTCCCAGAGTGATCTGTTTTTAGAAGAAACCAAGAACAACACAGCAAAAATCACATCTTTTATGTATAAAAGCGAGAAATTGGCCTTTAATTCTTCACTTACCTGTTGATTTCTTCATGTACTTCATTTCGTGGAACTCACTTGTGCGCGATATTCTGGCGCGACATAACTTTTCACTGTCTTATATGAGCCAAGAGCAGCATATCGTATTCAGTTCATGCTGTGTCGAATATTCTGGGCAGTAGTAACAAGTTGACAAGTTTTTTTGGACCCTTGGAAATTTTTGGACCTGCAACAGTTGTTTTCCCAAAGCGAAAGTTCAGACGGTTTTCCCAAAGTTCAAACGGTCAAGAAACTAGAATGGCAGCAGCAGAAAACGGGCTGTCACCTTGAACATTATTCCAGGCGCTTCAGTACAATACATAGTGTACTCGCAGTTCTCTGCTGCGGTCATGATCTTTTTTTTTT